TTGCAATTATATATTTCGTAAATTTAATGGTGCAACTGACAAAGCATAGTTTAAAATGGACTCTGGTACGATGGGTGTTAGTCTTAATAACAATACTAATTTCCAACTTTCTTTGCCAACTGCTTCATCAACAGCCTTCATTTTGGGTCTGGTTGAAATCCAACCTCTAATTCTCTTTCTAAATACAAATCTTCCTAATAAAAACGATATTGATCCGCCAACCATCGAAGCACTCCAAACAAACAAAAGTCCATACCAAAATCCAAATATTACACCACCCACTAAATAATTGTTTCAAAATAAATTAGTATACTATGGTTATAACAACCAATCATTATTATTGTATTTTATATTTACCTATGGTTGGTATAGTGACCGGTATTAAAAATATAATTAGCAAAGCAAAACCGCCCATAAAAATAAAACCACCAATTACATTGCCGTGGTTGTGATCCTTGATAAATGTTTGTAGTTTTTCCATATATGTAAATAAATGATCTTGAATTTTAAACTTGAATACTACAACCAATATAGTTGTAGCCATAAGTACAAAAATTATAATCTTTACCCATGTCGAAAAAGTAAATCCTTTAACCAAATTTAAAAATCTTTTATGTATTGGTAATTTTTCTGTATTATTATTGTCGTTATCAATTTCTTTCTCTTCATTTTCTATTTCTTTTTCATCTTTTTCTATATCTTTATTTTCTTTTTCTTTTTCTTTTTCATCATTATTTAAATTATTATTATTATTATTATTAATATTAATATTATCAGGTGTTGTTATATTTGCAGTCATTTTAAAATAGTTTGTTTGTGGTTGGGGACCAAGTGGTTTTTTAAAAGGTCTCCATAATGTTATAACAGGATTATTATTTAAAGGTGAACTTTTTTCATCCTCTAATAAAAACTGTTGGTCTGTATCTGAATTTGATGAATCTTTGTATGTGTTATTTAAAACAACAACTGAATTCTGTATCATTATATATTATATATTATAAAAAATTTATGTTGTATGTAACTGTATTTTGAATTTTTTTTGAAAAAAAAAAAAAATGTTATTAAACTGGTTTTTTTTATTTTTTATTTTTTTATTCTTTCACAAATTAAATAAATGTTTTAAAAGTTTTTTTGCCTGAATTGAAACAAACAAATAAAAAACAAAACAAAACAAAAAAAAACAAAACAAAACAAAATAAAATAAAATAAAATAAAAAAATAAATAAATATTTTATAAAAAAGAAATAATAGATTGAATTAATTGTTTTTTTTTAAATTAAAAAAATTTATATAATTGGGTGTTTGTGTGTTAGTGGGTGAATGTTAAATTTCTTTTTAATTTAAAACTAATATACATATATATATACTAAATAATTAAATAATTAAATTGAATAAATATTTTTATAATTAAATTGAATAAATATTTTTATAATTAAATTGAATAATTTTTATATTAAAATTAAATAAATATGTTTTATACTATATATATATGAAAAAAAAAAAAAATATATTTTGATTGTTTGAAAATTTTGATTATGATTGTGAACACATATTTTAATTTAATAAATATGTGATTAAATATGAATAATAAATTAAATAAAATAAATAAATAAATATAACCAAAAATAAAAAAAATAATAATGAAAATTAAAAAAAATAAAAAAAAATAAAAAAAAATAAAAAAAATAAAAAAATTTTATTTAATTTATTTTATTGTAAAAAACTTTTTGAGTTGTGAGACTTTATAAATAATAATGATGATTGTTGATGTGATACTATTAAAATAAATAAATGAAAATGAAAAATGAAATTTGAAATTTGAAAATTGAAAAAACACACACACAAATTTATAAATATATAAATTAAGAGAATAAAAATTTAATACACAAAATATTATTAAAAATAAAAAATAAAAAAAAAAAAAATTGTTTTGGTTGAGAAAAATATAGAAAAACGAAAATATCTTACGTGTGATGTCAAAAGTTTTTTTTTTTACTTTTTTTTTCCAAATTATTGAGTAAAGCGGAAAAAAAAAAGTGGGATTTAATTAAATATTTGGAAAAAAGAATGCAATTTTATTAAAAAATAAATTTTTTTTTTTTAGAATTCGATATTCTTTAATCCAAAAGAAAAATCCAAAAACACCAAGATTTTATAAAAATAAACTAAAAATATTAATGATATAATTATATAAATAAATATATGTATATATAAAATATAAAAAAAAATGATTAATTTACACTTTTTTTTTTATTAGAAAATTATTTAGAAAATTCTTTCAACAATGTTTTGAAAAAAAAATATTCCAAAATGATGAATGTTAAAATTTTTATTTTTTTTTTATTTAACAATATAAAACAATAAATGTTTTATATTGGACAATCAATCTTTATTTCCATACCTATAAATGCAATCAATCTTAGTTTTTTTTAATTTTTTTAATATTTTTATTTTTTTAATATTTTTATTTTTTTTATTTTTTTTTTTTTAAAATTTATAGCATTGATACCACGATTTTTTTTTTTATGAAAATAAAAAAAAATAAAAAATAAAAAATTATAAACTATTTTTTTTTTTAGTTTTATTATTTAAACAATTGTATTGTTGTTTGCAATTTGTGTGTGTTAGGTTAGTGCTTTGTGTGTTTTTGTGTGTTTGTGTGAAATTATTACATTTTAATTTTTTTTTTCAAATTTATTTTTTATTTTTAAAAAACAAATTAAAAAAAAAATAAAAAAAAAAAAAGGTTAACATTTTAAAATTTTTATTTTTTTTTATAGTTTATATTATTATTTTGTAATAATATTATTTATAATCATCAAATAATGGCAACCGACAATATTATGATTAATGAAAGTTTTCCATTAATTGGTCATCAAGTCCCAGTTAAAAAAGGTTTTAGAGATGGAAGTTTATATAATATTATTGTTTTAGGTATTTCGTTTTGTGTATTATTTACTGCTTTTTCACCAACTCAGGTAATTATCACTAATGATATAGGTATAGGATGCAAAAGATTGATGTACAGATAGATAGATAGATAGATATATGGTTATAGTTAAAAACATATGGGATCAATAATTTTTAAAAATAAATACAAAATAATAACATATTAATATATATATATTTTAAATTTATTTAGAATTTACAAACTACACTTAACAAATCAGTAGGCTCATATTCATTATCAATCTTATATGCATTTTTATCAGTATCAAATTTTATATCACCATTTGTAATCAATTCATTAGGAGAAAGATTATCATTGATTGTTGGTGCTTTAGCTTATTCAGTTTATATTGCAGCAAATATTAAAATTTTAGAACCAACTCTTTTTATTGCAGCAGGTGTTTTGGGTGTTGGAGGTGCTATCCTTTGGACTGCTCAAGGTTCATTCGTAATTCAATGTTCAACTGAAAGTACAATTGGTTTTAATACTGGTTTAGTAAGTTTATCAATTATTTACCACAATAATAGTTTGTTATCGTCATCATCATTATTAACAAAATTATTATTTTAAAGTTTTTTGCATTGTTTCAATTAAATCAAGTTATTGGTAATTTAGGTACTCAACAATTATTAAAAGCACATATTGCAATTCAAACATTATTTATTATTATTTTATCGGTATCATTATTTTCTCTTGTTGGTTTTGCATTATTAGGCAAACCAATTAAAACAGATGACAAGGGCGTACCAATTCCAAAAGAGAATGCCAACTTACCAATGAAAGATCGTTTATTGGCAACTATTATTCTCATTAAGGATAGACCAATCCAACTTTTAGTACCAGCATTGTTATATAGTGGTATCAGTCAATCATTCTTCTTTGGTGTGTTCCCATCATTATCAGGTGCAAATTGGCTCGGTTATATTATGGCTGTATTTGGTGCTTGTGATGCTATTGGTTCAGTTTTAATTGGTAAACTCTCTGATATCATTGGTAGAAAGATTTTGGTATTCATTTGCACTTTATTCTGTATTGCTGGAAGTATTTTAGCTTACTTTGTAAATACACGTCTCGATAACCAACCAGGTTATTATTTTATTTGTGCTGCTCTCTTAGGTTTTGCTGATGCCGGTTTCAACACTCAACTTTATTCATTAATTGGTGCCATTTATCCACAAAAAGGTGAAGCTGCAGCAGGTTTCTTTAAGTTTGTCCAATCAACTGCCACCGCTATTGCTTTTGGTTATGGTCCATATGCTATTTTACTTGACCACATTTGTATCATCAATGGTTTGGTAGTTTTATCTTGTGTTCTCTTTATGTTTGCTGATAATTTTAGTAAACGTTCAAATATTGATGAGCTCACTGTTTAGGAAATACACAAAGTTATAGCTTTTTTTTCTTTTTTTTCTAATATAATTTTTAAAATTTAAAAATAAAAACAAAAAAAAAATAAAGAAAAAAAAAAAAAACAAAACAAAACAATCAAATCAAATCAAACCAAAAAAAAACAAACAAAATCATTTCACATAAATAAACAAATATAATATATATGTATAAAATATTTCCTCAATATATTATGGGTTTGCCCCATTAAAATTATAAATATTTTATTTAATTTTTGATTTATAAATAGAGATTTTTTTTTTATTTATATTTCAATTATTTTATTTTATTTTATTGTTTGGTTTCTTATAAATCTTATTTTATTTTGGATATATTTAAATAATGGGCTATATCATTGCTCTTTATGCATTATTATTACCTCCAATTTTTTATTTTCCACGAAAGCGCCAAAATTTACCCCATTTTTAAAATTAAAAAAAAAAAAAAAATTTATTTTTTATAATTTTTTTTAGAATTTTTTTTTTTTTAAATATCATTTTTTTATTGTTGTAAATAATAAATAATAAATAATAATTAAACTATTTTTTTTTTTTTGTATAGTTGTTTTAAATTTTATTTATTTGGTTTCAATACTATAAACTTATATAGTATATTAAAAAATATTAATTATTATATATATAAATAAAAAAATAATAAAAAATGGGTATTAGATTATTAGAAATTTGTAATTTTAAATCCTATAGAGGTAAACACCTTATTGGTCCATTTAAAGATTTTTCATGTGTTATTGGTCCAAATGGTTCAGGTAAATCCAATATTATGGATGCTATTATTTTTGTATTGGGTCATAAAACTGCACAAATTAGAGGCACAAAATTATCAGATTTAGTTAATAATCAAGAAGATAAAGGTAAATAGTTTATTTATATATTTAAAAAGAAAAGAAAAAAATATTAACATTTTAAAATTTTTTATTTAAATATAAAGATGAAGATTTATCAACTTATGTTGAAATTACATTTTTTCATAAAGGTATAACATATATGTTTAAAAGAAAGATTATTGGTAATGGTTCAAAATATTATTATTCTGGTTCAGAGGTCAGCTATGAAAATTTTCAAGGTCACTTAAAAGAGATTGGTATTGATATAGCAACAAGAAACTTTTTTGTATTTCAAGGTGATGTCGAAAGTATAGCAACACAAAATCCAAAACAAATTACATCATTCATCGAAGAGGTTAGTGGCAGTACAAAATATGTTAAAGAGTACAATGATTTATTATCTGGAAAAAATAAAGCTGAGGATGATGTCTTTGCAGCCTATGCCAAAAGAAAGACTATTGCATTCGAAAAAGAACAATATAAAGAACAATGGAGTGAAGTAAAAGAATATCAAACTATGCAAGATGGTGTTGATGCACTTAGAAGGGATCAACAATTGGCCAAACTTTATTATACAACTAAAGAAATGAGAAAAGAAGGTAAACTACTTGATGAAAGCAGAAATAGAATCGCAAGTATTAATGACGAAATGAAACCAACCGAAGCAGAATATACAGCAACTAGTATTAAGCAGGCATCATTACATAAAGAGGTTATGTCATTGGAAGATGAGTTAACTAGATTGGCCAAGTCTAAAAAGAAGGGTGTTCCAGATCAATACAAGGTAGAAGAAGAAATTAAATATATTACTGATAAAATTAAAAAGGCCAAAACTATTCTCAAGAAAGCTGAATCCAATCGTAATAAACAAGTAAATGAAATTGACCAGCTTCGTGAAGAGTTAATCGAATCAACAAAGAAATTAGAAGATTTAGAAAAGGATAATGATATTGGTGGCCAAGCTCTTACCAAAATGGATCATGCACAAATAGAAGAATATAATCGTTTAAAATTAGAATCTGGTAAAGAAACATCTGGTATTAAAATTCAATTGGATCAATTACAAAGAGAACAAAAGATTGATATGGATCAACAACAAGCATTAAAGACCAAGCTCGATGAATTTAATACTATGAAGTTGAAATTTAGCGAGGCTCAAGAGAAATTTATATTCCAAAAAGAAACCGAAACCGAACAATATCAAGATATCGAAAAGCAACTTTTAGAGGCAGAAAAAGAACTCAACGACACAACTTCACAATTTCAAGAGGCCAATTCTCGTCATAATGATTTAAATAATAAATTAGAAGAAATCCAATATCAATTATCAGAATCAAAGTCTATTAAATATGAAAGTCAACGTGATAGACAATTTAATCAAACAGTTGAAACTTTAAAGAGTATTTTCCCTGGTGTTAGAGGTAAATTGACAGATTTATGTGAACCATCACAAAGAAAATATGCAACCGCTCTCACTTTAACAATGGGAAAATTAATGGATGCTATCGTTGTTGATACCGAAGAAACACTTTTATCATGCGTCAGATACCTCAAAGAACAATTACTAGGTGTTGCAACTTTTCTCTCTTTAGATCGTCTTCAACAAGTGAAGCCAGTTAATCAAAAACTCCGTCAATTAGGTGGTACTGCCAAATTACTCTTTGATTGTTCAAAGATCCAAAAGGGTGCAGAAGAAGCCGTATTATATGCTCTTGGTAACACTGTCGTTTGTGAAAGTCTTGGTGAGGCTAAAATGTTGGCATTTGGTGCAGAAAGAGTTAAGGTTATCACAATTCAAGGTATTCGTATTACAAAGAGCGGTTTAATGAGTGGTGGTGGTTTAGCAAATATCAGATCAAAGGCTCAATTATGGGATGGTAAAAATGTTGAAGCTTTGAAGAAAAAAAGAGATGCAATCCTCGCAGAGTTATCAGATGTTATTCAAATTAACGATATTTTTAATAAGAGACAAAACCTTACTAGTGCCGTCCACGAATTACGTTCAGCATTCAATCTTTCAAAGAGTAAATTAGGTTTGATTCAAGAGAGAATGAAAAGAAATGAAGCTGAATTAGAAACCAATAGAAATGCAATCGAAACATCCGAGCCAGAATTAGAAAATCTCAATAAAAAAATCGCTCAACGTAGGGAGCAAATTGAAAAACTTCAAGGCGAAATTAGATCAATCGAAGAAAACTTTTTCAGTGACTTTAGTAAGAAGTTTGGTGTAGATAACATCAGAGAATATGAAGATAACCGTTTAGCTAAAATCCAAGAAAATATGCAAAAGAGATTGGAATTATCGGAAAGTATTTCAAATATTAAAAGTCGTCTCGATTATGAAGAGGGAAGAGAAATCGACAGTGAAATCAAACAACTCAATGAAGAAATTTCAAATAATGAAAATTTATTAAAAGAAGAAATGGAACAGAAAGAACAAAACGATGAAAAGATAAAGAAATTTAACGAATCATTTGATAAGTTAAAACAAGATTTTGTAGAAAAGAAGGAACAATTAGAAAAAATGAATGTCACCATCAAAGAATTAAGAAAACAAATTAATACATTCAATAACCAAATCACCGATATCGAAAAGCTTACAAATAGACACGATTTCAATTTAACTAAACTTCGTGGTGTTTATCATGGTATTCTTGTTGATACTAGAAATGAAGATATTAAATTACCAATTTTACAATATAAAGGTGAAGATATTAAAAACGATGATGAAGAAGAGGAAGAAGATGGTAAATCTGATAAAGAAGGTGGTAAATCTGATATGTCTGAGGGTGAAGGTGGTAAAGTTGGTGCCACTTCAGGTAGCGAGAGTGAAGGTGGTAAGAGGGCAAAAAGAACTAGAAGAACTGCCTCCACTAAATCTGGTGATGAAATGGAAAGTGATGGCGGCGCAAAGAAACCAACAAAACCAAAGAAACCAACAAAGAAAAAGGTTACCAAGAGAAAGAGAGAAAATGAAGGTGATGACGATGACGACGAAGATATTTTCAACGAATCAGATATTGAATCCAAAGATAAACCAAACCTTTTACAAGAAATCATCAAAGATATACCACAAAATGCCTCTGAAGATGATATTTTACAAATCTATGAAGATGAGGCTACAATTCTATTCAGCTATTCATCATTAAAGAAAAGAGTATTTTCAGATCAAAAAGCCTATGAAGAATTTTTAAAGAAACTCACTATAGATATAGAAGCCAAAAATAAAGAAATGAAAAAGGTTATGCCAAATTACAAAGCTTTTGAACATCTTAAAGAGGTTAGCGCTAAACTAACTACAGTAAAGAAGGAATTGGATGCAGCAAGAAATACAGCTAAAGAGGTTAATGAAAAATTCACCGAAGTTAGAGAAGCAAGAAGAACATTATTTATGAGAGCATTCAAGAGAATCGTTAAAAACCTCAATCGTATTTATTCAGAATTAACAAGAGAGCTTGAACCACCATATCATAGAGGTAGTGCCCATTTATCATTAGAAGACAGTGTTCATCCATATAATGCTGGTGTTAAATTTACTGTAATTCCTCCAAACAAAAGATTTCAAGAAATGGAACAACTTTCAGGTGGTGAAAAATCAGTTGCTGCTTTAGCTTTTCTCTTTTCAACTCATGGTTTGAAATCTACTCCATTTATGATTCTTGACGAAATCGATGCTGCATTCGATAGTGTAAATGTATTGAAATTGGTACGTTATGTAAGACAAAAGGCAAGCCATGATTTACAATTTTTGGTTATTTCCCACAAAGAACAATTTTTCGTTCATTCAGATCTTTTGGTTGGTGTTTGTAGAGAAATCGATTCAGCCTCAAAATCCTTTTTACTCTCGTTAGAAGAATTTCCAGAATCTGATGAAGCTAAGAAGGCTCTTTTATCTAAAGGAGATGACGAAACTGATGATGGTAAAACATCTGCATCAAGTGGTAGTAGCGAAAGTGAAGATGATTAATAAAATTATAAAAATAAAACACATTTGTAAATTAAATAAAGATATAAATTATATTAAAATATAGGTCATTAAAAGTTTTCATTTATTGTTTTTTTAAATATACAAGATTTTTATTAATGTTTTTTCTTTTTAAAATAAAAACTATTATAAAAAAAAAAAAGTAATTATTTGTTTTAATTTATTTATACACGAAATATTATAATTATAGCTATATTTAATAATTGTTATTATTATTATTATTATTATTATTATTATTATTATTATTATTATTATTATTATTAATTATTATATTGTTATTTAATATTATATTTATTATAAATCAATTCGATTTTTTTTTGTTGGTATAATTTTTAGATATTTTAATAACTCGATATTGGTTGATATTCGTAATGTCCATGATGAGTTTGTTTGCAGAAACAACGAATCGAAATTAAAACTAAAATTATAATTAAAAATAAAAGAGCAAAAGAGAATAAAACTCCAACAGCAATGGCAGCACCAGGTGAATAACGTGGAATTGGTACTACAGAAACTTCGGTAGAGTTTTTAATTGATACCCAGCAAGGGAATAAACTTGAGGTAAAGTATTGATTAAAGTCATAAGCATCTTGCCAATCACCAGATACATATAATGATTTTGTAAGAATAAAAGTTTCATTTGCATGATATTGGAATGAAATTGAAGTGTTCCAGCATTGATGTTTTGCATTTGGACATAAACCAGTTGGTTCAGTTGCATTTTTGTGTGCTATTGGCTCCTCACCTTTGTCATATTCGTATGGGAATGTTTTTCCATGGTCATAAAAATAATATGGGAATGATACTTGATTGCTTTGCTCTACACAACTTGAATTCTGACACATAATATCTAAACTTGGTTTGTCTATTAATGTTGCATTTAATTTTAACCATTCATCTTTATATTCTACTGATGGTACAAAAACTGCTGCTGTAATAACTGCACCTGCAATAAAAGTTATTAAAAAAAATATTGTATTTATACCAATACAACAATTTGAATAACTATGTCTTTTATGATGGTGATGATGGTGATGAAATTGACGTCCCATTCAATTTAATATATATATTATAATAATAATATTATTATTATTATTTAATTTAAATTATTAATACTATAGTTTGTGATATAAAAAAAATAATTTTTAAACACGCAAAAAAGAAATTTTTAAAAATTAAAAAAAATAAAATTTTTTTTTTTATTTTATTTTATTTTATTTTTTTTTTTTTGAAAAATAGATTTTTTTTTGTTTGAAATTGGAATAAAAGTATCTTTTTATTTTATTATATAATTATTTAGTTATTTTATAATTTAATAAATTATTAAAAATTTTAAATTGTATTAAATAAAAAAATTTAAATAAAAACATATCCATTTTTTAAATTCTGAATCATTTACAATAATTTGTAAATGTTTTATTTCATTTTTTTTTATTTTTTATTTTTCATTTTTTTTTCATTTTTTTTTCTTGTTTTATTAACAAAAAATTTTAATTTAATAGTTTAAGCAATTATAAAATAAAATTTTCTTATTTTTTTTTTCCTATACCAATTAAAAAATAAATACTTAAATACTAATATTAATATAAATAAAAATAAAAAATAAAAATAAAAATAAAACATGTCTTACAATCAAAAAATAGATATAAATAATTTAGAATCATCTGATGAATCATATAATAGCAGTAGTGATGAAAAAGCATTAGAAGATTTAGAAAAAGAAGAACAACAAGAAAGGTTAAAAAGAAAAGCAAATAGAAAAAATACTAAAAAGACAGCAACTAAATTGACAACTGAAGAGGAAGAAGAAATACTTAAAAAAGAAACTGAAAATTGTAAAAAAGAAAGATTACCATCATCAGAAGAAATTTATAATCGTATCAAATTTGATATTCCAGAGGGTGTAGAAGCTAAGAATCACATAAAAGACTTTACCATTTGCTATATTGACCGTTTTTCAAGTCATCTTATGTCCATAAGTTACCCTGAATTTGAATATGGTGTTGTTCCACTCCATCGTATTCAATTATTTAAATATAAAGATACAATTGTTTGGGATAGACAACAAAGATTTTATCAATTTCCAAATTTTTTAGAACAAGATCAACAACAAGAACAACAGGAATAAAAAAAGCAAAAAGAATATAATGTCACTTTTTTAATAATTAGGTTTATTAAAATTAATTTAATAACAAGAGAATATAGCCATTTTTGTTTATTTAATGGATGTTCTTTTAAGCACTAGTTATTTTTAAATAACATAGTAAAGGCTTAATAAATCAATAAATCAATTTATAAATTGCTTTTATTTTTATTTTTTTACTTTAAAAATTTTAATTGTATTATTAATTTTAAAATTAATAAAAAAAAAATTTATTATTAAAACTAAAATGTTTATTTATTATTTTAATAGAGAATTGGAGAATCTAATAAACCAAAACCAGCAGCAACACCAACTTCATTTGAATGAGAGGTCTTGGTACGAAGTAAAATACCGGCATTTTTATTTACTACAACTTGGTCTTTAGAGTTATCGGATTCATCACTAATGAAGACACTATAAATACCCAATTCATAAAGAGCATCAATTTCTAATAATTGACGATCACGAACTACATGGGTCTTGAATGAAGTTGATACGATTTTATCCATTAAAATGTATGATGAAAGTTGATCAGGAGTCATTGATTGAAGTTCTTTAGCGACATCTTCGTTGTAAATATTGTTGCCACCACCTTCTCTTTGTGGTTTCATAACGTAAAGATTTGGATTAGCAATAGCTTTTTTAACGACTTCTTGATCGATATCTTCTTTTGAAAGACTGTATAAACCTGTAAATGATCTCTTTAATCTATCGAATGATTCTTTATTGGTAATGAATTTCTCGAGTACTCCTGGTTTTGCTAAAACTTGTTGAATCTTTTTAACACCAACTAAATGATGTGCAATAGTTGGGCATTTAATTGAAGATGATCTTTCGACTAATAATCTGCCACTCCATTCTACTTCAGATGGATAGTCGTTTGGTGTGTATCCTGATCTATAATATGATACTGAAATTTCATATCCATCACTACATTATTATTATTAAATTTAATAAAATTAGTATAACAATAGTATTTTTATTTTAATAATTATATTTAAAACCTACATTGATAAAGTAAAATCTGAATTGTTTACTACTGCTCTTTCATTAATTTCTTTTAATGTACGTCTAATTAATTTAATTTTATATTTATCCCATAATATCCACTCGAGTCCTTTTTGATCGAAAATGTTCTTTTCACCATCTTGAATGATCATCATTACAACTGAATCTGCCTTATTATATAATTGATGAGCAGTTGCCAAACCTTCTACAATTTCATATGAACTCTTATTATCTGGATGATTTTCTAAATTATATCCTTCTTTATTTAAATCGTTTCTACCAATTAGGTGTTTGTGTAATTCAAATATTTTGGTTGATAAAACTGCTAATGATGAAGAGATTGTATTTAACTCGACTTGATAAATTCTTGGTTCCTGTGTTTTGTCACTGTCGTGAAGCATATAATCTGATCTAAAAACACCCAATGATTTCTTTTGTTTAATACCTTCTTTATTTACTTGTCTATGAATTTCTAATAATTTTTGAGTAAAATCATCTTGAACACTAAATAATAGTAATTTAATATTAATTTTTTATTATAAGCATTCATTTTTCATTCGTTTAATTATACATACTCTTTTAATGTATTTTGAAGAAAATCAAAATCTTTACTGACATTATGCACTAATATATTATAATCTTGTGATAAATTTACAGCCTCTTCAAATAATTTCTTATTCATTGCACTTGGATATAATGAAAATGGAACATGTGTGATAGTGACAATGTCTTTTTTAACCTCCTCTTCGGTTGGTCTTTTGATCATTGTAAAGCCATTACCAAATGCCCAATCTATTCCTTGTTCTTTTAATTCATTTAATTTTTCTTTACTAATATTTTTAAACATTTTTAATAATACAAACAGACAAGCAAGTAAATTTAATAAATAATTATGATTTTAATTTTTTTCAGAAAAAAAAAAAATTTTATTTTTTTAAAAAATAAAAAAATTAATTTAAAAAATAATAAAATAAATAAAAAAATTAAAAAAAAAAAATTAAAAAAAAAAAAAAAAGAACCTTCTTTTTCAAAATATACCATAATCTATTTTTTTTATTAATTAATAATTTCAAAATAATTATAATAAAATAAAATTAAATGTTAAAAGTCTAGAACTGAATAAAAAAAACCGATAATTTCAAGAGGTGGGGTGTTTTTGTATCTAGAATTAACCGAATTAAACATTCAAAAAAAATAATTTTATGGGTTTTTATTTTTAAATTCTATAAATAAAAAAAAAAAAAAATGTTTTTTCATTCATTTTCTATATCTATTAAAGTTAAATTTGTATGTATTCATTTATTTACTTATTTATTTTATTTTTTAATTATTTAATTTGTTTAATTATTTAATTTATTTTTATATAATTTATATTTAATTGTTTATTTAATTGTTTATTTAATTGTTTATTCAATTGTTTATTCAATTGTTTATTTATATAATTTATTGTTTATTTATATAAAAATTTTTTTTAAAAATATTTATATAATTTTAACAAATTTTTTTTTTTTATTTATTATTTTAAAGATAAATTAAAATGTCAAAAATTATTTCAGTATTTGGTGCAACTGGTGCTCAAGGTGGTTCTGTTGTTAGAGCCTTATTAAAAGATGGTAAATTTAAAGTTCGTGCATTGGCTAGAGATCCAAACTCGGATGCATCCAAAAAATTAAAAGCTGAAGGTTGTGAAGTTGTTAAATGTGATGTTGTCGATTCAAAGCAAGACATAGAAGCCGCTATTAAAGGTAGCTATGGTGTATTTTTAGTTACTGCTTTCTGGCACTATTTTGAAAAAGAAAAAGAATATGGTAATAAGGTTGCCGATGCTTGCTTTGATGCCGGTGTAGAACATTTGGTATTCAGTGGTCTTTCTCCATGTAAGAAGATTTCAAACGGACGTATTGATGTACCACACTTTGACCTTAAAGCTGAAATTGAAGATCATATTAGAGAATTGTCAAAAAAGAAACCACAATTTATTTCATCATTTGTTTATGTTCCATTCTATATGCAAAATCTTGGTACTCTTTTTAAAGTTGATAAATCTGCTGATGGAAACTCCTACACAATTTCTTTACCAGCCGACCCATCCTCAAAGATTCCATTAGACATAGGTGATGTTGATGACGTTGGTCCACTTGCTTCTGGTATTTTCAATGAACCATCCAAATACTCTGGTGTTGTTGTACCATACGCAGGTAGCTCTCTTAGTGGTGATGAAATTGCCAAATCCATTTCCAAAGCCACTGGTAAACAAGTAAACTACAACTACATTCCAACTAAAGTATTTGCCACATTCGGATTCCCAGGTGCTGTAGAGATTGCCAATATGTTTGATTTTTACAACGAATTTGGTGCATTCTATTCTTTAGATACTTCATTAGCATCCAAAATTACTAAATTAACAACCCTTGATAAATATTTAGAAAAGAACCCAATAACTTTGAACTAAATAATATTCTTTAATAATTATTGTAAATCTAATAAAACTATCTAAATTATTAAATATTAAAATAAAATCATCCTACCAAAAAAATCATTTTTTATTTATTGTTTTTTATTATTTTTCTAATTTATTAAATTTTTTTAAAATATATAATTAAAATCAAATGTATATTTTACAAGTATTGAACATGACCCCCACCCCTTTTACAAAATTTTTTTTAATAAAAAGTAAAAATTCATAAAAAAATAAATAAAATAAAAAAAAAAAATCAAACAAAATTTATTTTTTTATTTTTTTATTTTCAAATAAATTAAAAAAATTAATTTTTATTATAATTTATTTTATATTTTTATTAAAAGCAAGATGTCAAAGATTATTTCAGTATTTGGTGCAACTGGTGCTCAAGGTGGTTCTGTAGCCAGAGCCTTATTAAAAGATGGTAAATTTAAAGTTCGTGCATTGACTAGAGATCCAAACTCAGACTCATCCAAAAAATTAAAAGCTGAAGGTTGTGAAGTTGTTAAATGTGATGTTGTCGATTCAAAGCAAGACATAGAGGCCGCTATTAAAGGTAGTTATGGTGTATTTTTAGTTACTGCTTTTTGGAACTACTTTACAAAAGAAAAAGAATATGGTAATAAGGTTGCCGATGCTTGCTTTGATGCCGGTGTAGAACATTTGGTATTCAGTAGTCTTTCCGCATGTAAGAAGATTTCAAATGGACGTATTGATGTACCACACTTTGACCTTAAAGCTGAAATTGAAGATCATATTAGAGAATTGTCAAAAAAGAAACCACAATTTATTTCATCATTTGTTTATGCTCCATTCTATATGCAAAATATTGGTGATGGTTTTAAAGTTGAAAAATCTGCTGATGGAAACTCCTACACAATTTCTTTACCAGCCGACCCATCCTCAAAGTTCCCATTAGACATGGGTGATATCAACGATATTGGTCCAGTTGTTTCTGGTATTTTCAACAACCCATCAAAATACTCTGGTGTTGATGTTCCATTCTCTGGTAGTGCCCTAACTGGTGAAGAAATCGCCAAGTCAATTTCCAAAGCCACTGGTAAACAAGTAAAATTTAACTACATTCCAACTAAAGTATTTGCCACATTCGGTTTCCCAGGTGCTGGTGAACTTGCCCATATGTTTGATTTTTACAACGAATTCGGTGCATTCCATACCCTAGACAAATCATTAGGTTCCAAAATTACCAAATTAACAACTTTTGATGAATATCTACAAAAGAACCCATTAAAATTAAACTAAAATTTACTAATTGTATTTTTCCTAATTAATTAAAATATCTTTCTTAAATAATTAAATAAAACAAAAGTTTTTAAAAAAAATAAAATAAAAATAAAAATTAAAATAAAAAAAAAAGATTTAAGTTTATCGAAAAGACTTTTGAACACAATTCCGCCTTGATGTAATTGAGTGAAAAGTAAGTGAAAATTCGCCGAAAAAAATAAATTTGTTCTTTAAATTTTTTTTTTTATATTTTTTTTTTTTATTTATTGGGTTAAATGTTTAATCTTTAGTTTTTTTTTTTTTTTATTTTTTTTATTTTTTTTATAATTTTAATTTTTATTTTATTTCTTCTTTTTACTTTATATATTGTTTTATATATAAAAAAAAAAAAACCATATCTATTTATTTAATTTATTTATTTATATAAATTAATTAAAAATTCTTCAACTATAAAAAAGGTTAGTTGTTTTTTTAAATTTTTTATTTTTTTTCCAATTTTTTTTTTCTATTTTTTATTTTTAATTTTTTTTGAAAATTTTTTTTTTTTTTTTTTTTTTTTTTTTTTTTTTTTTGTATTTAAACCAAAACGAAAAACTCACCTTAAATTTTTTATTAATTAATAAAATATATAAGAAGGTAAAAGTTAATTATATCGAATTTCTTTATTTCTTTTTTATTTTAAATAAAAATAAAATTTTTATTAATAAAAAAGACAATTATAAAATAAAATATATAAAAAATTACAAACAACACACACATTCACATAAATTTATTTAAACTCATCTTTGTGTGTATTGCAGAGTGTTAAAACTAATATGTAGTAATAACAATAATATTTTATTTCGTTTTTTTTTTTTTTTACATGTTGTTTGTGTTTTGTTTTGTGTTTTTCTTTTTTTTTTTTTTTTAGTGTTTATTAAATTTTAAAAAAAGAAATAAAAGAGAAATAAAGAAAAATATAGAATTTAGGATAAATAATAGAAATAAAACTAACCTTAAACAATTATTTTTAAAACACAGTTAGAAAATGCCCGATAATAAATATTATGATATCTTAGGTGTTTCACGTGATGCTTCAGAAACTGAAATTAAAAAAGCATACCGTAAATTAGCCATCAAATATCATCCAGATAAAAACTCAGAACCAGGTGCAGTAGATAAAGTAAATATTCAAACAAAAATAAAATTTTCAACATAATAATAATCATATATCAATTAAAAATAAATAACAAATTATAAACAAACAATGAATACACAGGAAACAAAAAACAAAATACTAATTAATTTTTTTTATTTATTTAAAATAGTTCAAAGAAATTACAGTTGCATATGAAGTTTTATCTGATGGTGAAAAGAGAGAAATTTATGATAAATATGGTGAAGAAGGTCTCAGCAATAATGGTGGTCCAGGATTCTCACATGACGATATTTTCTCACAATTCTTTGGTGGTGGTTTTGGTGGTTTTGGTGGTGGTAGAGGAGGTGGTCGTAGAGGCCCAAGAAAAGGTGAACCACTTCAACATAATCTCAAAGTTACCCTTGATGATTTATACAAAGGTAAAGTTCAAAAACTTGCCCTTCAAAAGAATAGCAAATGCTCAGATTGTAATGGTAAAGGTTCAACTGCCAAGGATGCTGTAAAACGTTGTGACGATTGTAACGGTACTGGTTTCAAGGTAACCCTCAGACAAATTGGCCCAGGTATGGTCCAAAAACTCCAATCACACTGCCAAGCTTGTAAAGGTGAAGGTAACGTAATTCGTGAAAAAGATAAATGTCAAAAATGTAAAGGTCAAAAAACCATTCAAGAAAAGAAAACTTTAGAAGTCAATATTGATAAGGGTATGAAACATGGACAAAAAATTGTTTTCCCAGAAGAAGGTGACTACGAATCACCAGATGTCGTACCAGGTGATGTTATCGTTGTTATTGTCCAAAAAGAACATCCAACTTTCCAAAGAGAAGGTGATGATTTAATCATGGAACACGAACTCACCCTTTTAGAAGCTTTAACTGGTTTCACCCTTTACGTTACCCATCTCGATGGTCGTGTTATTACCGTTAAGAACCCAGCTTCACAAATTATTAAACAAGGTGATATTAAATGTATTTATAACGAAGGTATGCCAGGTTACAAGAGACCATTCGAAAAAGGTAGACTTTTCATTAAATTCAACGTTGTTTTCCCAGCTTCTGGTCAAATCACTCCAGAAAATGCTAAATTATTAGAAAAAATCCTTCCAAAACCAAAACCAGTTACTAAACCAGTTAGCCACGATGGTATCGACGAAGAAGCCACCCTCCACGACTTTGATCCAAAGACTAACAGAGGTTCATCAAGTAGCGCCTATGATGAAGATGAAGATGAAGGTCATGGTCATCCACAAGGTGTAAGCTGTGCTCAAGTATGTATATTCATTTTACTTTAAAAATTTTGACTAAACTTTTATACCATATACTAATATATTTTTTTCATTTTTCACCACAATAGCAATAAGATCTTTAATATAATACAAAGAAGAAAAGGAAGAAGAAAGTTTTTTTATATTTAACATTCATACATATTTAAATTTAGGGCATAAACCAATTTTTTTTTTTTTTTTTCTAAAATAAATTAAAATTTTATTTCTTTTTTTCTTTATTTTTTTTATTAAATAATAATAATAAAAATATAAAGATTAGAAGAGATATTAAAAAAGAAAAAAAATATATAACATTACAAAATAAAAAAAAAAAAAATTAAAAAAAAATATAGTTTTTATAATGTTTATTTTATTCATCTTTTATTAAACATTTGTATATTGATGTATCTTTTTTTCTTTTTTCATTAAAAAAATTATCGAGTACATCATCTAAAACAAAGTGTATGTTATTTTCCTTTGCAAAATCTAAAAGATATTGACACACTTCTAATTTATCATTTTTAACTGATATTTCTAATAATAGATCTAATAGGATTAAAAATTTATCTTTATGATTTCTAGCTAAATATTTGATAACTGTTAAGTTGTTGTTTTTTGTGGAAAGTTCTGATATGTGCTTTAATTTATCTTGGTAATATATTTGAAATTCTATGATTGCATTGGAGCAATTTGTATCTTTAGGATTATGCATTTTATAAAAATAATTTATGGTATCGAAATAGATACTATCTTCTACTTGTACACCATATTTATTCAAATTTACCTTTGCATTGGAAATTTCTTTGAGTGTTGGGTTTTTTTTATTTTTATTATTATTTTTGTTTTTATTATTATTATTTTTAAATAGTATTTTGAAGATAGGTGATAGTTCTTCTGTAATCTTTTCTTCATCTATATTTAAAGTTGATTTTTCTATTTCTTTTCTAAAAATTTGAGTATCAAAAAAATCATAATCGATTTTATAAACCTCGGATTTACAGATTGCTCTGTTGAATTTTCCAAATAAATCACCTCTCAAGATTGAGTATTCTAAATTATTTTTATTAAATAAAAAGAATTTACCACTTGATACCATTTTTGTTTCCAGAATTTGTAAAAACTGGTCATTTTCGATGAATAAAAAGAACTTGCTTTTATCTATAATAATTCGTTTGGAGTAGTAGTCTATTAGGAATTCGAATACATTGGATGATTGAGGTTTGTTAAGGAGCGTTCCTAGTTCGTAATCATTAATTAGTTTTGAGTTAAATACACATTCATCAAAAGTTTTTAGACAAGCTTTAATTAGTTCTAAATTGCTTATTGAAAATATTTCTTGCAAAGTTTGAGGTATTGGTAATTCTTTTACATATGTTGAAACATTATTAAAAAAGTAATAAAAGAATGGTTTGGTGAGTCTAGTGTAGGAAAAAACATCGAGGTATTGATAGATGGTAGTTTTTAATTGATTATTTTCACAATTACTATTATTATGGTCCTTAAATAGTAAGTCTAAAATGTTTGAGTTCAATTGTTCTTTTGTAAATTCAAAGCTTGATTCTATTTGGGTTTTTTCTTTTTTATAAATTTTTGATGATAGTTTTATTAAAAATGGTGTTATTTTAATTATTTTTTTTAATTTTAATGTTTCATCAAAGAGATTAAAGTTAGATAAATATAAATGTGGATACACTTTATGATTTAACATGATGTTTTTAAATGTTTTTAAATCTTTGTAGTGATTAATATTTATAGACGATTTTGGTGTGGTAATTTCTTTTTTGAATTGCTGGAAATGATTTAAGAAAATATTAAGTGCTACATAATTTTGGGTATAGTAGATGGCCTCGATTACTCCTTGCATAGAGTATAATACTTGTTGTTTATAATTGAAAAAAAGCAAATTGTAAAAATGTGTGGTTTCATAATTGTCTATTTTGAAATTTTCAAATAAAAGTTTGAAAGAATTGCTTCTATCATCTTTAAAAATTAAATAATTTGCAGCTTTAACTTTATCTTTTATTATTTCATTTGCATTTTTAAACTTTTTATATGTTTCATCTATGCTCACTATTCTTTCGTAATTAAAAGTTGATCGGAATATAAAATTTGAAAATATTGTTTTAAAGATAACTTTATTTCTAAACACTCTCCAGAATAAAACTTCATTTCTGTCGATAGTGGAGTTGTCTAATGTAGATAATGGGTTGTTACTTGTTGGTAGCCAGAATAGTTGCTTCTGTTCGATTTTTTTAATGTTATTTATAAATTGTAGGTGTTTTTCTTGTTTTTGTAAATAGTCTTCAATTATTTTATGTAAATTAATTTTATCTAATTGATTGATAATATTGATTGGTTTGATTTTTAAATGAATTGCAATATCTAATAGTTTTTTTTCATCTATAGAGTCATATTCTATATTAATAAATGATTTATAGTTTATATTTGTATCCATAGAATTAGTTATTGTTTATTTATATATAAAAATAATTGGAAAATAAAATAATTTTTATTAAAAAATCTAAAAAAAATTTTATTTTTTTTAAAAATATTATTGAAATAAAGATTTTTTATTTAGATTATACAATAACCTTTTTTATGATAAAGATTGTAGTATAATATTTGTATTTAAAATGTGACGGCCAATATATTTAATTTGGCAGCTTTGGTACCTTCTAAAATGAAACCAAAAGTAAATGAAGCACCAGCATTGATGGATGGTTGGTATGATGGAAGAGTTAAAACACCATTTGGTAAACGAACGATATTCCAGATTGAATTGTTATCACGTAAATTTAAGGTGTAGTCAGTTCCAATGAAAATGTTTTTAACATCTCTATTCAAGTTGTTTTTAATGGTAACATCATATTGGGTGTAGGTTTTACCGCATGAACTATCAGTCCATGTTCCAATAACTTTTTGTGATAAGGTTACTTCGTGACAGTCGTTAATTGGAATGCAAGAGCAGACACCATCAAAAGTTCTACATACTTGGCCATAATCACATGAATTTGGACCACATGGATAGGAAGCTGAAGATAAAGCAACAGTTAATAATAAACTTAATAAAACAAATAAAAATTTCATTTTTTTTTTAATAAATAATAAGTAAACTATGAATATATGTTTGTTTGTTTGTTTGTTTGTTTGTTTGAAATATAATTAAAAAAATAATTTTCTATTTATATGATTTTCTTTTTTATTTTTTTTTATAAAAATTTAATATATAATTTTTATCTCTATTTTAAAATAGAAATCTTTATAATTATAAATTATTCAACTTTAAAAATAAAAGTTAAATAATATAAAATTTTAAAACACAAAATTTAAATGGTTGTAGATTTACAAATTAATTGTTTTTTTTTGATCTTTTATTTACATATTTATTATTTTATTTTTTAAAAAACTAAAATAATTATTGATATTATTACAATTGCTTTTAATAATAAATTTAAATGAATTTTAATGCCATTGCTTTTGTTTGGTATTAAATTGGCAGAGTCGGTTTCTTCTATTATATCTTGATTGTTGATTGTTAAAACATTCGAATTTAAACCATAGTAACTATTTGAAAGATATATATCGAAACTTTGTTTATTTGGAATTTGTAGTTGTTTAGTATAGAAATCAAACCTAAATAATCCATCATCCTTGTAAAAATGAAATGGTACAATCTTATTTTCGAAACTAACTATTAAATTTAAACTGTTATATTGTTGGGTTGGTATTTCGTTACAATTAAGTGACCCGTTAATGTTAATATGTCCTAAATAGTATCCTTCAAACTTATCTTTCTTTTTTACTATTTGGCTTGAAAAAATAGTGGGTGCTATATTTTTTAAAAGAAAAAAATTAATATCAAAAATATTATAATTAATTAATTTATATATTTAATTAATACATACCAACTAAAAATATAAATGTAGATTTTAAATATTTATCTGAATAATTTAAAATACCACAATGGTTAATTGAGCTTAAAGATATTGATGGTGGAAGTGTGCATTCTAGTCTAAATGAATAATAATCACCAGTATTTTTAGTTGAAATACAGTTTAGTTGTTGATCGAAATATGTGATTTTTGAGTTTTCTGATAAACCATTTCCATCAATTATTATTTTATTATTTATAAATTTTGCTGCTGTTATTGCTGGTGGTGAATCTGAGAGTTTGTTGTATTGGAATGTTGCATTGGAACCTTTAATACTAAAAATAATATCAAATATATCCAATGTTGGTATTTGTTCGTATGGGTAAACAAATTTGAATATTCCAGAGTCAAAAAATGAAAATGAGGTTCTTATTCCTAAAATATTAACATGGATATCGTTTTCAAAATAGTTTTCTGGTGTTATTTCGCTACAATTAATACTGGCATTAATATTTAAATATCCACCATCAAAATTTGCTGAATAAACTTTAGGTTCTATTGAAAAAAGAATAATTGGTTAATATATTTTTTAAAATATAAAGTCAATATTATATATTTATATTTACTTGGATAATATCTAATAGTTTTGCTGAATGTATAGTCATCATAAATTATAGCACCACATGTTGGAAAGCAGTCAGTTTCATTGCACTCCTTTAGTTTGCAGAGTAATGATGTTGGTGATGATTGGTTGCATTCTAATGGCTTGAATAAATATGATAGAGATGCTTCTAAAACTAAATTTTCTCCACTGATTTTAATTGTATTGTTTTCTAAAATATTAGAAGATTCAATTTTTGGTTCTAAATATGAAAAAATTGAAACTTTGTTTGTTTCGGTCCCATTAACTGATACTACAATTGATAAATAAATTGATGCAAATAGTTTTGGTAAAGTACATGATAATTGATTTGGTCCTTTATCTTGAATATTTTGACATTCACCATTTCTTTGGTTCATTATTAAATAAACCATAATGTTATTGTTTCTATTGTTATTATTATCATAGTAGTAATTTATTGTTATATTTTGTTCCCCAATTGGATATATTTTAATTGTTTCATTTGTATAAATAAAAGGTACCACATTTAAAACTAAATTATTTGATGTAAAACCACGGCTAACTAATTTAATATCTAAAGATCCAGTAAAATATGTTTCTGTTACGATGGAGCCAATAAAGCATTCTATCTCATTGTTATTGTTTTCTATATCTAAATTCTTACAATTTGAGGAAATTTCTTGATCTTTATGGTATACTTTGATTGAACTAAGCAATGAGTCTATATCTTGGGCACCAGTTTTAAGGTTTCTTGTGGTTATTAAGACACTTGAGTCTATTTGAGTTATAGTTTCAATTGTAGGTGTTGCAATTAAAAATTCATAAACATTATTCCATTCACCAATGGTAATACTTGCTTTTAAACTTGATTTTATATCAAATATATCACCAATATTGATACTACATTGAATAATTTGTTGTTCTAAAGAAATTGAGCTATTTTTTATACTGTTGCATTGAGTTTTTGAATTGGTATTATCATTATTTATTATTACTATATTATATTGCTCGAGTTGTTTGATACTCCAAATATATTCCCCTAACCACGATAAAATTAAATGTGAATCTCCTTCTTTTATACTTGCAAATGATTTTATTTCTGGTGTGAGTGTTAAGTATAAGTTGTTTGATTTAATAACATTTTGATCTATTGTATTGGTGACATAAAATTCACAATTCTCTATTGCCAAAGGTAATGTTAATTGAATTTCATTTTCACTAAAACTAGTTGGTTTAATTATAACTTGACCAAACCCAAAATTTACAAATGATTGACTTGTGAAACCACTTCCCACAATTATCAGGTTATTTTGGTTTTGTGTATAATTATTTATTTCTAAACAACTAAAATTATAAATAATATTAATATTATTTATATTATTTTTATCAAAAGAAAATAAGATTGGTACTTACTTTATAAAATAAATTAGGTTTAATATAAAAAATAAATAAAGAATTTTCATTCTTTTATCTTTTAATAAGCATAGTTATAATCTGAGAAAAAAAATCAAAAAAATTAAAAAAAAAAAAAAAAAAAAATTTCGTTTTAAAAAAATCCATTTTCGTTTATTTTTTTTAAATTATATTTTAATTTTCTTTTTTCAAAACTTAATATATAATATATAATATCTGAAAAATAATTTAAATTTAGAAATCTTTACGAACATTCATCGAAAAAATGTTTTTATGTTGGACCAAGAAGATCCGATAGACTTGCCAGTGGATTGTAAAAGATTAATAAAATAAATATCTAAAATTTAAAATTTAAAATAGTTTTAATCCTTTTTTTTTTTATTTAAATCTATTGTTTGAAAATTGTAGAAATTAAAGTATTGTATTTTTCTATTTTATTTTCTTTTTTATTTGTTTCTATAAATGGAGAAATACTTGATTGATATCTTTGATTATTTTCTATTGACCATACGAAATTCCCACTAATAAGATAGTGAACATGGTTTAAAAGAGACTGAACTACCTTTCTATCCTCTACATCCTCAAACTCGTGCAGCAGTAATGGTTCATCTGTGATGATATCTTTGATATATGTGTTAGCTTCGTTAAAAAGATATTCACAAACCTGATCAAACGTGCTGAATTTAGTTGAATCTTTTTGTAAAAAATAAAAAGTGTTACAATAAGCATTTTCATTTAAAATTTCTTTTGCATAGGATACAGCATCGTTAACTATAGATATTTGAATGGAAGCTCTATTTAATATCTTTCTAAATCTTGGGTTTAACCATAGTTTAACATCTAAATCTTTAAACAAAATAAAATTTAAAGCACAACATGCAATAATCCCTACATTGATAGTTCTAATACAAAAGTTAACATTAGAATTATATAATTAACTATTTGTAATTACTTTTATATACATTTACCTTATACATCTATATAATTGATAAGATGGATAAAAATCTTTTTCTTTACTATGAATTTTTGAAAAAGGTACCAGAGTCCACAAGCAAATTACCAATTCGTTAATTAAAAGATTAAATGCATCCAATCTTTCCCTTCCGCAATATTCGAATAACTTATTTCTAAAAAAAACTGTATACTCTTCTAATTTTGAATTTTTATTGGTTATTGTTCCATTAATTAATGCTTTTTCTACATTTAATACTGTAGAATCTGTTTTTTTATCATCAATTTCTAAACTGTCTAAATAATCATCTATTAAAAATGACCATTGAATAAATCTACCTGTCATTAAAGATTGAGAATGATTACAAAGTGGCCACATATATGCACAACTTGATAAACATGAATTAATATAACTGAATGATTTTTTATCATCTATTTGAAAAATTCCTAAATTTACCGACTCTTTGAAACACTCCAAAATAAATTTATTATCACAAGGTTCGTGATTCCATTCGTGTGGATATATAAATGATTCTTTTAAAGATATTAAACTTCTTTTTTGTTTTATAGCTTCCATTTTATATTTTAAAATATTTAAATATAAAAAAAAAATTTTAATTTATTTTTTTTTTTATAGCTTTGAATTATTTAAAAAAAAATAAAATATTTTAAAAAAAAAATAAAACAAAACAATAGATGAAATTAAGGAATAATGACCTTAACAATTTAAAAATATCTTTATAAAAACATTCATTCTCCATTTCAATAAAATAATTTACAAATATAAATTAAAGATATATATATAAAAAAAAAATAATAATTTGGTTTGGGATTTAAAAAAAATCTTTATAAAAAAAGAAAAATAACATTATATTTTTTTAAAATCGGTAGAGATTAAAACAATTAAAAACACAATTTAATAATTATTATTGTTTATATTATTAATATTAATTATATAAAATAAAAAATACAAAAAAATTTTTGTTATAAATGCAAAAATAAAAATATTTTGTGAAATTAAAAAAAAATTTTAAACCTTTTTAAAAACTCAATTTTTTTATTTAATTTGTTTAAAAATATTAAAAAATATATTCCTTTTGTTTAGAAATAGTTGAGATTATTATATTGTAATTCCAAATTGAATTCCCTGAGGAATTAAACCCTGTGAATGGAGAATTGTTTAAAATATATCTATATGTCCAATTCAAAATACCAAGTAATGGACCCTATACAATAAAAAATGGACATAATTCTTTTAATTGGATCTTTAAACTCTTTTAATAATAACTCCTCGTCTCTAATTATTTCCCTAATATGTATTGGCTTTATTATAAAGGTATTTACAAACTTGTTCAAAGTTATATATATATTTGTGCCCTTTTTGTAGAAAAAGCAAGGCATTACAATTATCGTTGGCAATTTCTTTGCTAAATGAAACTGCTTCATTGACATTTGAGGTTTGATATCAAACTCTATTTAAAATTTTCGAAATCTTATAATTAACCACATAATAGGAAACAAAATTTAATTAAAATAATAACCTTATATTAATAGTTCCAATAACAAAAATAATTTATATAAAAATATTTTCTATATATACCTTTATTATTAATAAGAAGGATAAAAACCTTTTTTCTTGTGGTGACTTTTTGAAAAATGAGAATAAGGTCCACTAACATGCTCTCAATTCATTTATAAATACAATTAGAAATTGGTGAAACTTGAGATAGTAACTAATTTAGCCACTTTTCCTTTTTCTTTATCTTAACCTGAGTGATTTTTCTATTTTATTCTTAAATAACAATATTATTATTATTCTTGGATTATCTAAACTTTGATTTCTTTACCAAACTTTCATTTTTTTAACTAAAATGTAAATCAACTGATTGTGACAATGAAAAAAATTCATTTGAAAGGTTCTGAACCATGGAATATAAAAAACTAAATTATGAAATGTGTGTTTAAAAATAAATTATTTTTTAATTTATTTTAATTAATATATTATTGTTACTATTGTTAATTATTTTAAATAATATATTTTAAACAAAAATTTAAAAGAAATAATTTTAAAATATAAAAAAACAATGAAAAATTAATCTAAAAAATAATGAATGGTGAAATAAAAAATTAAAAAGGGTTTTTTTTTAAAGAAAGTGGTTATAAATTATTTTTATTTTTTGAATTATTGGGTTTATAGAGTTAAATTAGAGTCTGTTTACGGTGGTTGAGATGATTACCTGATGCAATTAAATTGGTATCTTTGTTACAAAAGATGGCAAAATACTGCAATGGAGGTATGACAATCCAATAGATTTAATTTATCAACAGGGTCAATAGCTTTTTTCTTGTACACAAGATCTTACCAAAACTATTTCATAAATTCTTTTGAATAAATGAACGTAATGGAAGAGAAAATATCAGATAAAAGATTTAAAAATCAAATATTAAAAAAAAAATGCGTTACTTTAAAACAACTCTTGCTTTTTCAAAAATGTTTTATGTACAAGGTTTATCAATTTGATAAAAATTGAAAAAGCATTTCGGTGTCGTTGTTTAAAAGTGGCTTTTTTTTTTTTTTTTTTTTTTGATTTTAATTCTTTGACCAATATCTTCAAAAGATAAAGTCTGTTGGAAACTAAATTTTCTTGAACTCCCATACTACCAAATAGAATCGCTGGTTGTAGTCTCGTTAAAACAAAATCAACAGAGGTTCTACCAAGTAGGATGAATTATAGATATTCTATAAACATGGCGAGGCGTTGCTTGAAACAGAAATAAATATTGAGTATTAAAACTTGAGTGATGAAATATGATTTGGTGATTGAGTAATAAATTTTTGGTTGTTGTAACTATTATTATTGGTTATTATTACTGCTATTATAATATTTAAATGTTTAAGTGATGGAGCAAACTGAACAAAAACCAAATCTATAATCAATTAAACCTAAAATATAAATTCTTTATAACTGAAAATAAAGATAAAATAAAAAGTAATTATACAATTATATACATATAGTGCATAATTATAACTTTGAGGCGTGGAAACTTATATGGCAGACATCAGAAAAATCGATTATCCATTAACCTGTTCTTTCCATTAGAATCAACTTCCTAAACAAAGCTTGGATAGGAGAGATTACATCCTTGATATTCAAGATTGTAAAATTGAACAATATGAAAACCTTTCCCAAAAAGTACACTATAAGGATATATTAATGAAGACATTAAATAATGCTTTGGGGCACATATATAAAATGAAGTCATAATCCTTTATCATCATCATCTTTCTTCAAGATGATTTATTGACGATGAGTGTGTTTGAGCATTTCCAAAGTTTCTAAAATATTCTCTAAACCTTTACCCTCTCCTCCAGTGGTAAGGCCTTCGAATAATTTAGTTGATGATGAAGCACTAGAAGCGGCAACACCATTGTTGTTGTTGTAGTTGTTGTTGTTGTCTTCATTACCACCATTGATAATATTTTGAATTTGTGATTTTGATGGAATATTTGAACCAGTTGATGATGATGATGGTAATGGGAGTTGATGTGTTGATTTATTGAAATTTAAATTTGATGTAAATTGTTCTGGGTCATCTTTATCAACACAGCCAGTAATTCTGATTTTAACTGGACGAAGACATTCTTCTCTTTCAAGAATATATCTTTCTAATTTTTCTTTTTCTTCTTTTGGTATTTCATTGATATTTTGTAAAGAAAGTAACTTGATAAATTTATCAATTTTTCTTAACTGTTTAAAAAAAAAAAAAAAAAAAAAGAAATTAATATTTTTATACTTTTTCTTTTTTTAACTGTTTTAAATACTTACATATCTATATGGCCATTTTCTTCTTGTGCACTCTTTAAATCTTTTGCAAAGCATTGATTCTGAAATACCTAATCTGGCAGCAGCTTCTTTTTGTGGTAAAATTAATAAATCAGTGATATCAATATAATTTGGATCATTAGTATTGATTGCAGAGCATTCATCAACTAATTTGTTGCTACTTGATGATGATGATGATGCAGCACCGGAAGTTGGAATATTATTAAGAGATGGTGATGATGGTGGTGAGTTTGATTTTGGTGATGATGGTTCTTCATTTTCCATTTCGTCACATTTTCTCTTATTTGGTTTTGAAATAATATGGAATGGGGTACTAGCTACTTGAGATACGACACGAATTTGTTTATCTGATGAGATATCAGAAAGGGTGAAACTAATACAAAAGAGTTGATTTGGATATTTGGCAGAGACTTCATTAAGTTTTAATTTGTTGAAAATAACAAAACCATTCTTTTCAACGAGAATACTTTTAACACCTTGAAGTAATTGTTGGTTCTTGCTAAGGTTATTTTGAGATGCAATATTATTACCTTTGAATGGATATGGGGACAATGAAGCATTAACAATTAAATAACCAGAGGTTTGGTTAATAATATCTTGATCAACTAAAACGACGATGGCTGGATGAATATAACGATTACAAATAATAGTTTCTGATGGTTGTTGTTGAATGGTTAAAGCTTGTTGTGGTGATGAAGATGGTGAAAATGAAGCTTGTTGGATTGGTTGTGATGTTATTGGTTGTTGTAATGGTGATTGTGGTTGTTGTGTTGGATGGCCATAATCTAAATCTTCATCGGATTCATCAGATGAAAAAGAGGAAGATGGTGAGGATACGGAATTTACATTATAATACTTTAAATTCTCTAAAAGAATTGATTCTCTCTTTTTAATTTGTTGGAGTTCTTGTAACCATTGTTGAATTTGTTTATTTTTAAAATCACTGTTGTTTGATGGTGAGTGTGGTTGCTCATATGGTGATTTGAAGTCTGATGAATTATTATTTTCACTTTGAAGTGCAACAATTGGAACTGAATAAGATGGTGATGATGAAGCAGATGATGGGGATGAATGTAATGATGAAGATGACGAGGAAGAAGAATGCTGTGATGGTGATACAGTGAGATGTTGTTGGAATTGCCTAAAGGTGGGTAAACTATTTGAACCAAAATGTTTCATCATACTATCTAAACCATTGTTACTATTGTTATTGTATCTTGGTTTTGGTGAATATTCTCCATTATCACTTTCATCGCTGCTATTAAATTGGTCTTGTGAAAATTTAAATTTTTTTGATTCGTGAATATAACCACCATTATTGTTGTTATTATCGAATGATTTCAATGGTTGAATGTTATATTGAGAATATTGATGATGTTGGTTAATATAATGATTATTATTGGAAGAGAAATTCCAGCCACTTAAATATTCGTCTCTTTGGGGGTTCTTTACTTGATCTTGTGATAATAATAAAGAATGTATAGAAGGTTTATTACCTCCTAGCAATATAGGGGGATGTACTTTTTGCATTTTATTGATATATAAATAATTTTATTATGTTATTATATATATGGTGGATGAAAATATTGAATGATTTTTTTTTTTTTTTTGAATATTTTTTTATTTCTGGAAATTTTGTTTTT